GCCATCCGCTGAGGGACCTGCGGAGACAGAGGCTGGTTAGGGACCGGACACACCGCTCCTGCTCGGCCCTCAGAGGCTGTGGGTAACCTGAAAGGTTTGCCTATTAGGCACCAGTAGGCACAGAGCCTGTGTTAAAATCTAAAGAACAAAATTATATAATCCCCCCTGGATTATATTTGTCTTTATACCAGCGCACTCATAAAATATAATTTTAAATATTTCTATGGAGGAAGCAACACACCAAGGCACAAGTGCTCGGGCTCACGGAAGTCCTAACGCAGTCCTTGCTTTGGGTGCTCCGGCCTTGGAGAGCTCAGTTTGGCGCCCTCTCCTCTCACTGAGGCGCTCCCCTCAGGCGTTCCCCTTAACCTGGGTCAGGACATAAGGAGATTTAGGTCAGGTCAACCATGTGCACAGCAGAGAGCTTAGCACTAAATGCATATCTGTATGCTCCATTACGACAGTCTTTCCTGCTTCCATGGTGAATCCGGGGAGGTGGGAAATGTCAGAAACTTAAAGTTCTATCCAAGGGGTGATTCTACCTTCCCATTCACTTGCCATTTCAGAGGCCTACCAGGCCCAGCACGCCTGGTGCTAAAGGAGGTGCAGTCTTCCTGCGCTGTGCAGGCTGCTCTGAGCCCCAGCGGGGCACCAGCACTGAGAGGCCCTGAGGACAAAGAGAAAAGCACCCGGGTCCACACAAATGGCCTGGACCCAGCAGCAGGAAAGCTCTAAGCAGCTAATATGAGATTGGGGGAGGTTGGTTGGGTGACAGGGGCTGCGGGTGGGAGCAATGAGAAAGCCGCAGAGGTGGGGCTGCATGCCCACTCAGTGCCAGTGACACATGTAATCGCCACCCCACAGCAGCTCTGGTCACCACCACTCCCACCTTTCAGAAGTGAGGCGCCCGGCTGAGGTTCAGAGATGTGCGACCTGCCCCAGACATGTCAATTTAGCAGAGCTGGGATCTAAGGCTACTTAGCTCCCTGTACCTGGAGCTCCAGCAGCCCTGCTGTCTCCCCAGCAGACAGCGCTCTTGTGCTTCCGGATCCTTCTCTTGAAATGTCCTTCCTTACAATGAGCACCACTGTGACTTTCCTTAGAAGGTGGGATTTTCAATGGCCCTCAGGCTCACATGTAAAGTGCAAAAGTATCTCCAGATTACCTGAGCCTTTTTTTGTTTTTTAAGATGTTGGTTTTTGGCAGCTTTGTTTGGCCCAAGAGCTCCAAGACCTGTCACACTTGCACTCTTCCTCTGTCCCTTGGTGCCCTGAGCAGTGAGAAGGTCCAGGGATTGCCTTCCCCTTTGTGTGGAATTCCTTCCCACCACGGGGAATGAGAGATGGAGCGAAGATTACTTCCGAGGATGACTGTGAGGAAGCATGAGGAGACCTAAGTGCTCAGTAAATGCCACCACTGTTGTAGCTGAACCATATTGCTAAAAGCAAGGACTCCCTCTTGGGTAGAGGTCTTGTCCCCAAGCACTCAACTCAGTCAGCCTGAAGCCATGGGGCGGGTTTAAATGGGGCTACTTTCTGTCAACTACATTCCAGTACACAGAGTGGTTCCAAGATGACCTTTAAAAGCTTAAATTGGATTCCTGAAGGTTGAAGGAGCAACAAGGCAGGATGAGTGAGAGAGGGAACCCAGGGAGCAAACAAGAGTCTAACCAGAGAGTGAAGCCTAGAGCTGGATATCAAACAGCCAAGCTACAGGAGCCCTGTTCAGAGAACTGAGGTGGAGCCATTAAAGATGGGGTCAGAGCAAGGGCATGACAGAGGGTCCCGTGACAGGGAGGCTGCAGCTCCTTGCCACCCATATGTGAGCAATGTGAGCACCAGATGGGGATGAGCACAGGAATGACGTGCTCAACTCATCACTGCTAAACTGGGGACCCGGAGAGAAGACCTTTTGCCTGCTTATGAACACAAAACAAACAAGCTTTTGTTCTTTCTTCTCTTCCCTTACATGTCCTGGTTTATTAATATCAAAATGATCATAGGTTCACTGAGGTGGTTATAAAAATGCCTAATCAGGCCACAGTCTTGACATATAAAGGAACCCCTAAAGTGTGGGTAGTGGGTTGAATGGTGACCCTCCCCAAAAGAATGTCCATGCCCTGACCCAGAACTTGTGAATGTGCCATTAATGGAAAAGGGTCATTGTAGATGTAATTAAGTTACAGACCTTGAGATGAAATTTTCCTGGATTTTCCTGGTGGGACCCACATCCAATGACAAATGTCCTTATAAGACAAAGACAGAGGAAGAGGCCATGTAACCACCAAGGCAGAGACTGAAGTGATGTAGCCACAAGCAGAAAGGCCGGAGGCAGCAGGAGCTGAATGAAGCAAGGAGAGAGGCACCCCTAGTAGAGCGTGCAAGTGGCCTCTGGGCACCTGGATTCTGACCTTCTGACCTCCAGAAATACATTTCTGCCATTTTAAGCCATCAGGTTTGTAGTAATTTGCTAGGACAACCCTAGGAAACCAATACAGTGTGTTAGTACGTCTAAGACAAGAGAGGAAAGTGGACAGACATTTGCAGAGCACCTTTTCTGTGTCCAGCACTGCACAAACAGCTCACATGCATAAGGCTGGGTTCTATGGCACGGGCCACTCAGCCACACTGAGGTTGGAGTTATTTTGTCTCTCTTACAGAGAAAAGCTGAGGCCCCCGGAGTTGTGTGACTTGCCCATGGTTCAGGCTAATGAGGGGCACAGACAGGACTAAATTGAGGTATCCTGACTCCACTCCAGTGCTCTTGTTTTTCCCCCATTGCATGTCCCCTCCCTGCTGATGTTGGCAAAAACAGAAGGGCAAAATGAGTAGAAATAAATCCACTTGTATAGTTCTAGTAGAAGGATAAATAAATGAAGGCAGAAGTATGTTTCTGAGACATTTGGGGATTTCACTTATCACCAAGTCCTGATTTCTCACTAACATATATCTAAGGCACTATCTATAATTTTAGGTTAAATGTGCAGCTATACTAAAAATCTACTTCCTAGAACGAATCCCATCCTTAATTTGCTTTCCTGTAGCACAGTTGGGCTGGGTCCCTGGGAAAAGAAAATACAAAACCACATTCCATTCTATTCTATTCAAAAGAATTCTCTAATATATACATAGTTGAATTATGGTGAGTGACTTGAAATTCCATCTCAGTCCCCATGGTGTGAATCTAACCACATTCTCCAGAATTGTGTTTTTATAGTATGTAGCCAGAAACATAGGGAAAAGGTACAGAAAAAGCAGAATGGGTTAAATGCAGAGAAAGAGAAAGAACCCCATCCTCCTTCCACTCCTTCCCACCTTCCAAATAACAGTCAAGGAGTTTTCTGTGAGGCAAAATGAGTAAACTTCCAAGTGTTCTGTGACGTAATATTCCTAAAATTAGGACTAACAGGACCTCTGTTAGTCAATGACAAACAACAAAACCAAAGAATAAGTCATGGTAAAGGACAAAAATAAACAATCCAAAGTCAAAGCCTGTAACCTGCCAGCATGGTGCCCCTTCCCCAACACACTACTTGTAAAGACTGGAGCAGAAAACCTGAGGTGCTTCTAAAAAACACCCAAAATACTGATGTTCCTCATTTACAAAGAAGTCTAACCAATTAGTAAGAAAAACACAAACAACCCAATGCAACTAGGGATGATGGACATGAATAGGTAGTTTACAGTTGTTATGGATTGAATGTTTGTGACCCCTCAAAATTCATATATTGAAGTCCTAACCCCCATTGTGGTGGTATTTGGAGATGGGACCTTAGAGAGGTCAGATTTAGATAATGTCATGTGAGTGGAACCCTCATGATGGGATTAGTGTCCTTATTAGAAAAAAAAGAAAGGCCAGAGCTCTCTGCCTCTCTGCCATTGAGGACATAGCAGGAGGCCAGCTGTTTGCAAACCAGGAACAGAGCCCTCACCAGGGAAACACATCTGCCAGCACCCTGATCTGAGACTTCCTAACCTCCAGAGCTGTGAGAAACAGATTCCTATTGTTTAGCCACCCAGTCTGTGGTATTTTATTATAGTAATCCAAGCTGACTAATGTAATGGGGAAATATATATAATACATGGAAACTGTTCAACATGTATCATCAAGTAAATGCAAAATAAAACAACAGAATTCCAGTTTATAGCCATTAGATTGGTAAAGATTATAAAGTTTCCAAGATTGCTATGGCAAGAATGTTCACTGCTAATGGGAATCTAAATTGGAGCAACTTGGTTGGAGGGAACTTCGAAATAGCTAACCAAATTTTATTTTATTTTATTTAAATTATTTATTGTTGAAAACATTACATAAGTCTCCTTTTCCCCCCATTGACCCCTCCCAGGCCACTCCTCCCCCCACCCCGCACATGTCCCAGCCCCCTACTATCTGTGTCCTTTGGCTATGGTTGCTCTCTTACCTCCCCCCTCTCACTCTTCCCTTCCTTCCCACCTTTAGGCCAGCAGCTCTACTTCTAGTAGTTCACTCTACAGATACTCAAAACTAGTGCATTAAGCTGTGTAAGTTGTGTATATAGACTTTTGCTGCATCCTTTTCTTAAGAATAAAACAAAAATATCTGAAAACAAACTAGGAGCTTGGTTCAGTGAAATCTAATCTGTCCAAACAATGGAATACAATTTATCTGTTAGACACTGGATGTCTTCAGCCTTCTATGACATATCCATTAAAGTGGACAGCTCTCCATAATATATTAATTAGTGACAAAAAGCATATAGAGAATAAACCTATCTGCATATATCTCTCTTTAAGCATTAGGCTGAAACATAAACAAACAATTGCTGATATCTGACTATTCTTAATCTACAAAAATGCAATTTCATGATTCATTGCTTCAAATGATTCACGATTCAACCCAATATGAGCAACTCTCTGAACCAGCAATGAAAAGAGCCCAATTAGAAAATCTTTTACCACTAAACTGGGCAGCATGAATGAAAAACCAGAATGTAGTGTGGCCTCCTCACCCACCCACCACCACCTTTGTATAACTGGCT